TAGCGTTTAGGGTTTCCCAAAACTAGGGGGTATATAACCCGCAGTAATGGAGAACTAAATGGAAAACAAATGAAACATGAAAGGGACACTGGGGATGTAGGGGTTATATAGTGATAGTGGAAAAGAGAAAGGAAGCTTCATTTAGGTTAGGGTTTCCCAAAATTGAGGGCACCATTTCAGGGGTCCTTAAAATAAGGACCATAGTATATTGGGGTTTATATTGGGGTCCCCTTGCGGGATTGGGACAATCTTAGGGTTATATTGGGGGTTTTATATTTGGGATAATGGAAATGAAATGGAAACTATAGGGGTTTCATTTACGACAGCCAAGAGACATGTCAGAGATCTGACGGAATCGGTGTGCTCTGAACTTTAGGCCATCAAGGAGGCTTTGATGACGCCGCCCGAGTCCACAGTGTGGCTCTCAAGACGGTTGATGCCTGATTGTAGGCATATTCTCTTGGAAGTGACTCGGGTTCTATGACCGGGAAATGCTTTCCAGGCTTGGGAGTGTCACGGCCGCACCCTCAGCATCCGGCTCCCTGCACATTTGGCACATCCTGGCCCTTAGCTTCTTCAGCATGGGGTGACGTGGGATGTTCGAACAAGGCACCGGCACTTCGCTCGGTGATCCGATTGAGGCTCCCAACCCGAAATGGCAGCTCGAGAGTCGTGAAGCAAGAAACCGACCAGGTCGGAGCTGTGCGAAAGGTGCAGATCAGGGCACCGCGCTCCGAGCCGTGATGCAGCCGCATTGGTAAAGTCTCACTGTGTCTCGAAGAGAATTTAACGTGGCAGGCTTATGATGGGATCCGCGAAGACAAACATCGGGCACTTGGAAGGTGGTGCCGCAGGGACCCTGGCAGCAGACCTTTGAACCTGGAACACGTAGATGTAGCCGACATGCTGAGGCCATGGGCGGCATTGTGAAGTGCATTATGCAGTGTGTGCGCCCAAGTGAGGTGCATGTTTAATGACTTTGGCAGTAAGTTCCGAAACTTGGTTCTCTCATTTGCCAGCTAAGGCAGAAGCGCGAAATGCTGTCCTACACAGTCATGCCAGCATGGTTTCCTCATTTGACATATACGGAACATAGAGGCCCACTGGATGACCACAAATTGTTTCCATATTGGGGCCAGACAGCTTCCGATTTTGAATCTCAGAATCTGATGTATAGCAGTTTCCATTTCATTTTCCATTTTCTTTTCCATTTGATTCTCCATTATTAAACGGGGATACTAGGAGCTCGTATTGGCTTTAGGTTCAAACCTCTAGCTTCGAGCTTGGATCGACCTCGGATCTGAAAGTTTAGAGATAGCTAGTTGGGGGTTTCCCAAAATTNNTTATTTAGGGAAACTACCGGTTGTGTCTTGCCAGGCTGCAGGCTTTTGATTGTACCACCGAGCAGCAACGGGAAGTTCCCAGCACCCTGACGACTCAGTGGTTCAGTCTCTGCTTTAAGGGCCTCCTGCACATGACAGAGAAGCTTTTGGGACCTTGGGAGGGTGAGGGCGAGATGGTGATCCTTGGTTTGTGATTCTGATCCTACTTGTATGCTCGCCATGCCAGGCACCTGCGGACGCTGAACCCTCACTTGGAGCATGCAAAGTTCGAAGCGCACTTCGAGACTGAGCCAGCAGCATTTGCCGGAATCCTAGATTTGACTCTGCAACCGTTCATGCCAACATGCGCATTTGCGCAAGAGAGAGTGAGCAACAACCTTGCCTCTTGGTTGGACGCCATAAGTTGGAAGTGCCACCAGCAGGTGTTGACTTTGACCTTGACGCTTCGTGCAGTTTCAAAAGCAGGGAGCATAAGCCCCCAGACGACCTAGCCGCACAACGGAGACGAGGGAGCGTTTGACTACTTAGTAGGTAGAGGACGGAAGTGGTACTCGAATAGCTCCTTTTAGCTGAAGATCGTATCCTTATTCTCTCAAGGTGACATTTCTGAAGATTCCTCCAGTCTTTAAGGCACTACCTCACCCATAACCTTGAATTCAAACCCTAAACCCTAANNCCCTAAACCCTAAACCCTATCTGAGAGCAGCCGAGGCCACCAACCAGGGCAACTCCCAGGTTTCCTCCTTCGGATTCGGCGGAGCTGGCTGGTTTGCATGTGCTGCAGCAACGGGGTACCTCATTGATTGGGGGTCCCTGTAAAGGGGTTGTATGGAATAAATAGGGGATAGATAGGTCTATATCGGGGTCCCCCTGTTTAGGGAAACTGCCTTAGATCCAGGCACAGAAGATATAGCGGGTTGGTCAAAATTATGGTTCCTTCTTTGGAGTATTCTAGTATCCTATGAGCTGCCGTACCACACTCGGGACCCACAAAAGGGGCATAAAATCAACAGCTACTCCTATGGGTTGCGCTGCAGTCGACCCCTCAGCTGGAAGAGCCAGCCTCTCACTCCAAACCTCAGACATTAGGGTTGTATGAGGCTTATATTGGAATACTGGAAAAGAAAATGGAAGTTATTACAGTATAATAGGGTATATATTGGCTTAATGGCAAAAGTGGAAACTGCTATAGTATACTGTTGTTATATAGCGATAATGAAAAGACAATGAAAACTACAATTTTAGAATTAGAGTTTCTGGAAGTTTCGTTAGTCCAAGAGGATCGACATGCAGGAAACGAAGGCGAAAGCTAGACCGTTTCAGTTGCTGCGTGCGACTGCTCCGAGCGACCCCGCCCATCCCGGAAGCCAGGGTAGTTTTCTTGCTGGAGCCGTGGAGCAAAGGAGGTAAACGTGTTGGAGGCTAGCTGGAGGTCAAGAATCAGGATGCCTCTCCCGGACGCTACAAACGGCTGATGCAGTTTGTTGAAAAACGACAAAGCTGTGTGACTGCTAGCTCATGCTGTTCGATGTACTCATGGCTTGTGAGGTGGCACCAATGCCCACGGTGTCTTCTGGGGCATGAACGTGAGCATCAAAGAGGAGCCACGGACATGTTGTTTTCAAGCTCACGTCTGTCAGCCCTCATTTATGTACGGCGTGCAGCACTAGTGACTAGTGAGAAGTTTAGCGACGGGTCTTTCCAGCTAAATCTCAAATTTCAGGCGCGTACTCATTTTAAGGTGCAAAGGTGCTTCTCAATGTCAGCAGGATGCCTGCCTGCTGGCCTACAGACGTACACACACACACACATGATGCCACATAGTGAGCGTGCTTGTCAATGCATCCGGCAGGATGTGGAGAAGGTGTGGATGAAGAAGCTGTTGTCAAGACCGCCACCTGAAGTCCGCCCAATGGGCGCGCCACTTTGGAATCACCAGCAAATGCGGCGTGAAGCTGAGTGTTGGCACATGAGGCCCGGACTTCGACAAGTGGGAAGCTGATTTCCCGGACACGCGAATGGTCCGAAAGGGCGCCAAGTTCTGGGCTGAGCGTGCTGTGCAGCAATTGCCGGCCTACTACGCAGGGACTCGTTGCCTGGCTGTGTGCTGCAGAACACTTGCTGAACTCCAAGGTTCAGCCTTAGTATGGGGCCGGATGAAGGCAACGAGCCTTTGAGGCAAGACCTGCTAGGGAGGCGAAAGCATTCAAGATTTCTTTTGCGTTTTGGGTTACGCGCAAAGCTCCTGTATCTGTAGGTCATAAACATTGAACAAGTAGGATGCTTGGGATGGGTTTGAACCTTCCTGAAGCGACACGCAGAGGAATCTAATGAATCACCAGTGTGAGGCTAGGAAACGGCTAGGGCAACGCCAGAGATTTTTCACTTCAATTCATGATTGGATGGATTAGTTTCAGGACTTGTTATATTTCTGTCTATGAGTAGAAGGGGCTGGCAAACCAATCCACCAATTCCCACAGGAACGTGCTTCGTAAGTGTAGACCGATTTTGAAGCTTGAGAAATGTGTGGCACGCAGGGGGACCATATTCTCAACCATTCCAGGATCAAGCATTTCTTCAAGCGCCCATTTGCCAGGTGGGATGTGGTGGACGAAAGCAAGGAACTAGAAGTAGACGACATGGAGGCTACTTTTGTGCGGCACTCGGGTGACCTCTTCGCTCAGGGACGTGATATTTGACTCAGATACCTGTTTAGGGCTTAGGGTAACTACTTCAAGTTGGGATGGAGCATGCGCTGATAAGAAGCTCTCTTCGTAGGACACGTGTCACGTGACAAAGGCCATCACCGGCAATTTCAACAATTGGGATGACGAGGAGGCCGGGCATTCGAGATAAATAAAGTCCAGAGTCATAGCCGGCATCCATATTCTTTCGCTGTCTGTTTTTGGTGTATTTCATGGTGTATGATGGGATATCATAGCATATTGGGAAGTGTCATTAGTACGGGTGGTGGTCTCAGCTCAGGCGATCCCCATGGAAGACGGAGAGGTTCCCGGAGTCCACCGTATCAATCTCCAGGCTGCCACATGAGCTGCTTCAGTCGGTTTAGGGGTTCGGATTTGGGGTTGATTAGGATTGAAGCTGTGGCTTCGCAGTGCCTTTAGAGTTCCTGCTGTTGTAGCTAGGATTGTTTTAACAGTACTTATCATTCATTAGGAATTCGATTACTATTCATATCAATACTAGCATTACTCCTCTCATGGCATTTTTATTGTTATTACCATGGAATATTAGGCATTCTGAATTACGAAATATGATAACCCTTGCTGTTAGCCACTACTATGATCACCACCCTAAACCCTTGACCCTATACCCTATGCCCTAAACCCTATAATTAGTTGCTACCTTTTCTGGCTCTTGCCTGCAAGGTGCCAGCAGGTGGCGAGTTGCATTTCCACTTGCTCAAGGGCGGAAATGCCAAGCAGATTGTGGGCCTCTTCCCCAGGGGGCACTGGTGTGGCTTCAGATGGGTTTAGGGTTTAGGGTATAGGGTTTAGGGTATAGGGTCGCAGAACTCTGGATAGCTGCAGGCCCTGAAGTTGACGAGTGCACTCGAAAGGCCCTGGCAAAAAGTGGAGTTGTCCAAGTCTCTACTCACGCTGCTGCCTGCAGGGGGCCAAAATCATCGGGCCACAGGAGAACCTCAAGAACAAGTGGGCCGGGTGCTCAAACAATATTAATACGTATAACAACATACATGACAGAAGCAATAATGACAATAGTGGTGCTTGACAGAAATAAGAAACTGGCCTGCTGAAACATCTGGGTTAAGCCAGTCAGCCCAGGTCATCAGTGCTCCGGAGGGCAAGGAAGTGCGAATCGAATTTTTCAGCCGAAATGGCCTGTGGCTTGGTCTCTACCTGTAAGAAGTCCACTCAAAGCTTACCACTGGCAAGGTCGACGCTCCATACTTTGGATCCTTTCAAAGGGTGATGCGCTGCCGCTGGAGTCTGGTGGTGATGACGAGCCGCACAGCTGAATTGGATGCACAGAGGTGGCGAGGCTGTGGCAATCTCACCGTGCGCCTGCCGAGGTGAGAGGAAAGGCGGTCTGACTCTTCGACGTAGATTCTGACGTAGAAGTTAGAAAAGGATGCAAGGAGGCATTTGCTGATTCGGATGTGCAGCACGTGCAGGTGCCTACTGCCCAGTCGGCAGCGTTCTGTGATCTAATCATGTGGGAAACCTCTTCCTGTCAGCTGAGCTTAGACATGCAGTAGTCAAGGTTTTGGCCTCATGTGCCTTAAAACACCCTGCGGGCCCATCACTTAACCGAGGAGAGTTCCAACTTCCCATCCCCAACTTCAATGTCAGACACCGTAATAAAAGGCTGGGATTTACTAAGGAGACAAAGGTGCCCTGTAAATCTGGTAGCAAGGTAGATGCAGAGTGGTTTAGATGCCGAACGTAGCATGACCAACTTGATTTAAACTGCTGCGGCGACTTAGAACAACGTGCAGCGCAAACCATAAGACGCCTCGCATGTGGGTCAGAGCTGCTGCAAAGCACAGCAGCTGTACTCAATGGCGCCGCCTAAAAAGACGCAAGACTCATTGAATGGAAGATCATCACACAGGTCACGCTCCCGATCAAGATCCAAGTCATCACAATGGTCGCGTGGAAAATCACCGCCGCCGGAGAAGCAAACCGGCAAGGACACCACGGAGAAGGAAGACGGGGGTTCTGCAACACGAGGCACGCCGCGGGTCCAGGCCCCGAACGATCTCCCCGTAGCCGCTTACAAGGACAAAATCATAGACCTTCTGCTGGAGCATCCCATAATCGTTGTCGTAGGAGAGACAGGATCTGGCAAAACGACCCAGATCCCGCAATACTTGCTGGACTCCGAGAGGTTCCACTGCCTCTTTGAAAACAAGCGCGGCCTTCGTGTGGCCATTACTCAGCCACGACGGGTTGCAGCTGTGGCGATGGCACGGCGAGTGTCGGATGAGCGTGGTACCAGGCTCGGAAATGTTGTGGGATACTGCATCCGCTTTGAAGACAACTCAAGTGCAAGCACCCGTTTGAGATACATGACAGATGGCTGTTTGCTTCGGGAGTGCCTTGGTGATCCGGATCTGGCAAACTATGATGTCGTCATCTTGGATGAAGCCCACGAACGCAGCTTGCATACCGACGTCTTGTTTGCTCTCATGAAGCGAGCTGTGAGCAACCGCGCAGGTCAGCTCAGAATGCTGGTGACTTCAGCAACCCTCGATACAGGAGCTTTTTCTGAGTATTTTAAATGCCCGGTACTGGAAGTCCCTGGACGTAGCTTCTCAGTTGCTTTGCACTACCACCCTGTTTCTAAGACTCAGCGGGTGGAAGCCGCGGTAAACGTCGCGCTCAATCTGCATGTCCGCGAGGGACCTGGCCATATCCTAGTCTTCCTCACGGGAATGGAAGAGTGTGAGCAAGCGGTGGGCTTGGCAAATGCAAAGCTTCAAAGCATGGTTGACAGCGGGAAGCAGGTCTCAGACTGCCTCATTGTCCCTTTGTATGGCATGATGCAGTCGGACGACCAGCGCAATGTCTTTGAAGAAGTCCCAGATGGTTGTCGCAAGCTTGTTTTTTCAACGAACATTGCAGAGACCTCTCTCACCGTGGCAGGGGTGGGCTATGTCGTTGACTGTGGATACTGCAAGCAGAAGAACTTCAACCCAAAGACTGGAATGGAATCCCTGCAAGTGACTGAAGTTTCGCAGGTGCAAGCCAAACAGCGTGCGGGCAGAGCTGGCCGTACGCAGCATGGCAAGTGCTTCCGGCTGTACTCGGAGGAGACCTTCGTGCGTAGCCTGCCTAAGGTCACGGTGCCTGAAATCCTGAGATCGAACTTGGCGTCTGTTACGTTGCAGATGAAAGCAATGGGCATAGAGGACGTGGTGAGATTCGACTTCATGGAGCCGCCTGATCGCGTACGTTTGGTGAAGTCTTTGAGACTCTTGTTTCTTATTGGTGCGCTGGATCCGGATGGTGGCCTGACAGACCTTGGACAGAGAATGTCTCAACTGCCCCTGGAGCCTCAATATGGTCGAGTCTTACTTGCGGCAGCCGAAAGTGGCTGCGTTTCTGAAGCTCTAACTCTTGTATCCATGTTGAGTTCTGAGGGCGTTTGGTTTCGGCCGTCCAAGCACAATGCAGACCAATGGGAGGAAGCACAAGCGGCTCAGGAGCGATTCTTGCATCATCTTGGAGACCACCTGACCTTGGTTCGCGTCTACACAATGTGGGAAGACGAAGGTTGCAGCCCTGATTGGTGCAAAGCCAACTTTCTCCACTTCAGGGCCTTGCGCCAGGCCCGCGACATCCGAGGTCAGCTGTGCGAGCAGATGGAGAAGGTCTCTGAGGCGCAAGAGACAATGACGAATCTAGCAGGGGCCATGTTACTAGCTGGCTGTTGCTTACTTGTCCTGAAAGAAACGAACGTGTGCGGATCAAGATGGCATATACTGCCGAGCCCCCAACGCAAGCTCTTCAAAAGTGTGGCCACCAGTTCTCACTGGATTCTCAAGTTTTTGCATGATTTTCAAACGGCTTCTTAGGATTTTTTCAGAACTCTTTCTGTGGAACGTGACTGGACGTGCTTGACTGGGTGTTCCTGACAGATTCCGCAGGCATCTGTTCGGGATGCAGTTCGCGCAGTTCGGCAAAGGCACAGAGATCCCAGAGCCCGTGACCGAGGACGAGGCAGACTTCCTCCATGGGTGGTTGTCAGAATTATGGTCCCCTTTTGGATCCCTGTTAAACTACGGCACCTAGTATTTAGGGTATCATAATTTTGACAACCACCCACATGAGCTATAGCCTAAATTCCTGAACGCAGGGGGGGCGGGGCCATTACAGGATACTAGGAGTTCAGACAAAGGCTCGCATGAAGTTCTTGATTCTGGTAAGGTACAACCTCATAGAACCCATATGAAACCTTGGTTTCCACTTCTTTTTCCATATTCTCTTCCATTTCATGGTCAAGGTCCATTCTTGGATAATACATCCCTAAATGACCCCTCAGCTAAGATGGTTCTCCTATTTCCTTGTTCCTTTGCCTAAGCTTTCCTGACATTGTCTTGGCTGCAGGCGCCGCCCCAAATGGCAACAGCAGCGAGCAGGCGGCCTTTTTTTTTCTCGTGGGTCAGGGTTCAGGGTCTAGGGTTTGGGAGTTTATTTGTAATTGTGATGATGGAAAACAAGCTGGAAAAGGACATGGAGCATGCAAAGCATGTTTTGTACAAGCG